ATCAACTATATGTCAACTAATTCTCATTAATTTGCAACTACATGTCTACTAACTCTCAGAGTAGACGGTTAGGGTAGGTTTAGGGTTAATAGAATAAGTTGACAAAGAAAGTGTTAGAAGACATTAAGCAGAAAGTCTACTAATACTTTACTAACTGCTAGTTGACATGTAGTTGCAAAGTTATTTACTGTTAATAGAATGTCTAAAGTGGACTATCGAAATAAAGTGTTACCAAAGTTTTTTTAATTTTATTTCAGTAAATGTTTATTTTGTTTCAAGTATTGTTTTGTTATGGGATTAACTTTAGCTTATAATAACACATAATACATATATGCACATACAGAAATATGAAAATACAAAATATGGTGTTTAAGGGTGACAACTTAAATTAAATGAAAATGTTAATGAACATTTTTTTTATATTTAATTTAATGTTTAATTGGTTTCAAATAATGAAAATGTTTTTTTTGTATGGATTCAGTTTTGGGTTTCTTTAGTTTAATTATTAGTTTTAGTTTTGTTCGTTTATAATAACTCTGATGAGTATTATACATACAAACAAAACATGTGTTTAAAGGTGGCAACTTAAACTAAATAAAGTGTTGCTTTTGCAACAACCTGAAATAAAAGTATAAAAAATGTTATATATATTTTATTTTAGTTAACATTTGATTAGTTTACATTTGATTTGAAGTAATGAATTTTTATGGTTTTAATTCTAGTGAAGTTTTAGTCTAATTCAGTTTGGTTTAGTCGTAATAACACTGGTGAGTATTATGCATGTGTACATAAATATGAAAATACAAAATATGGTGTTTTAAGGTGCCACAATTATTGACTGTACAAATATGGATACTACGATATGCATGCATGGGTGCATTTAAAATAAAACATCTTAGATGAAACATTGTATATTTACAGATAAATGCACATTTATGTTTCAAGGTTGGTGGTTTTGATGGTGCCGCTCGTTTGCGAAGTGCCGAGGCATACAACCCTCTTAATGACACCTGGCATGATATCCGGTCTATGATAAACCCACGCAGCAACTTCGGCATTGAGGTGACATCTAATGTGAATTCTGCTGAAATAGCAGTTTTTGAAGTTTCTCATTGATGCATACTGTCCGTGATACATATAGTTATTTGATTGGCTAAACTGCAGGTGGTGGATGATCAGCTGGTTGTTGCCGGGGGGTTTAATGGAGTCGGCACCTGCCGGGATGTGGAGTGTTACAACCGGATGACGAATGAATGGTAATGTTCACAAACACTACAGCTCACTAATCATTTCACACCGCATGATGTTATGACTACAAGTTAATAATGACCTAATTGGTGCCAAAAAGTTGAATTTATTAAATGGAGAGTTTTAATTTTTATTGAATGCCAATTTTTCCATTATATTGTGATGCATTTCTGAGACAAATGGGATGTTAAATCAGAAAAAAGTGGACAGGAGTTGATTTTTTCTGTGTAGAATTGATTGGCTCTTGAAAAGTGTCTTTATGCAACTTTATCTACCTTTTTTCTGCAAAGGGATGAAGTCTGCAGCATGAGCATTTCCCGCAGTGCTGTGAGCTGCTGTGTGATATCCGGGTTACCTGATGTCACACAGTACGTGGTGGATCGAGACTCTTTAGAGACATCAGATGACGAGTCTGACAGTGACTGATCGACCTCCAGTGGATATCTGACATTCGAACGAGAATGCACACTGAAACATCACAGCAGATGCCATATGATATAAGTAAATGCAGTTTAAAAAAAAAAAAACGTGTTGGATTGTGCACTTTAAACTTAAGGAATAGTTTCTTCATTGGAAAATATTTGGAGAAATGTATCATTGCATCACTTGCTCAGCAATAGATCCTCTGCAGTGAATGGGTGCCGTCAGAATGAGAGTCCAAACGGCTGATAAAAACATCACAATAATCCACAAGTAATCCACACCACTCCAATCCATCAGTTAACATCTTGTGTGTTTGTAAGAATAAATCCATCAAGGATTCTGGCCTAAATGCTGATTTCATAATCCATAATAACGCTTCCTCTGATGGCACCCATTCACTGCAGAGGATCCATTGGTGAGCAAGTCATGTAAAGCTAAATTTTTCCAAATATGTTTCGATGAAGAGACAAACTCATCGACATCTCAGAGGGCCTGAGGGTGAGTACATATGTTCACAATTTTTATTTTTGATTGAACAAATTTTTTTTTACAATCAGGGATGCTGTGGTTTAGTGGTTAAAGATCAGAGTTGATCTTCAAAACCGGCAAGAAGTGAAAGAGCAAAAATGTAAGTTCTTTCCAAAAACTTTCTCTTAAAAGTCTCTTAAAGGTTTCTTTAATAGGATTTCAAAGGTTGACTGATTAGTTTCAATCTTAACTTATTTTAAGCATATGTATGGCAGCCTGTTTCCAGCACAGAATAAACAAATTACTTTTTATCTCTGACTTTTTTTTTGTGATATATGATCTTGGAATTACAAGAAAAATGTCAGAATTGTGAATGACTACAAGTTAATAATGACCTAATTGGTGCCAAAAAGTTGAATTTATTAAATGGAGAGTTTTAATTTTTATTGAATGCCAATTTTTCCATTATATTGTGATGCATTTCTGAGACAAATGGGATGTTAAATCAGAAAAAAGTGGACAGGAGTTGATTTTTTCTGTGTAGAATTGATTGGCTCTTGAAAAGTGTCTTTATGCAACTTTATCTACCTTTTTTCTGCAAAGGGATGAAGTCTGCAGCATGAGCATTTCCCGCAGTGCTGTGAGCTGCTGTGTGATATCCGGGTTACCTGATGTCACACAGTACGTGGTGGATCGAGACTCTTTAGAGACATCAGATGACGAGTCTGACAGTGACTGATCGACCTCCAGTGGATATCTGACATTCGAACGAGAATGCACACTGAAACATCACAGCAGATGCCATATGATATAAGTAAATGCAGTTTAAAAAAAAAAAAACGTGTTGGATTGTGCACTTTAAACTTAAGGAATAGTTTCTTCATTGGAAAATATTTGGAGAAATGTATCATTGCATCACTTGCTCAGCAATAGATCCTCTGCAGTGAATGGGTGCCGTCAGAATGAGAGTCCAAACGGCTGATAAAAACATCACAATAATCCACAAGTAATCCACACCACTCCAATCCATCAGTTAACATCTTGTGTGTTTGTAAGAATAAATCCATCAAGGATTCTGGCCTAAATGCTGATTTCATAATCCATAATAACGCTTCCTCTGATGGCACCCATTCACTGCAGAGGATCCATTGGTGAGCAAGTCATGTAAAGCTAAATTTTTCCAAATATGTTTCGATGAAGAGACAAACTCATCGACATCTCAGAGGGCCTGAGGGTGAGTACATATGTTCACAATTTTTATTTTTGAACTAATTTTTTTTTTACAATCAGGGATGCTGTGGTTTAGTGGTTAAAGATCAGAGTTGATCTTCAAAACCGGCAAGAAGTGAAAGAGCAAAAATGTAAGTTCTTTCCAAAAACTTTCTCTTAAAAGTCTCTTAAAGGTTTCTTTAATAGGATTTCAAAGGTTGACTGATTAGTTTCAATCTTAACTTATTTTAAGCATATGTATGGCAGCCAGCACAGAATAAACAAATTACTTTTTATCTCTGACTTTTTTTTGTGATATATGATCTTGGAATTACAAGAAAAATGTCAGAATTTTGAAATAAAAAGTTGAAAATTTTTATTAATTAATTTTTATTTTTTCATCCTATGTTTATAAACAGGCTTCCAATTGGAATTCTTTCATTGCTTCTGATTACTTCTTGTTGAATCTGTCAGTATTTTCTGTTTCTGTGTAGTGGACCGAATATGTTATTCGGTGGAAAATATGTATCACTATACCATTTATTTAACAAAACTATGGTACTGAATATCTGTATTAAATCAGAATTTTGGGTCTGACAGTTTTCTTGCACTTTATTTTGTCTAAATATATTTTGCAACCTCATTCTTGATATGGGTGATCATTTATTCATTTTTCTTTGACTAATTAGGTAAAACATTAATAAAATGTATCAATAAGACTGGCCATCTATCCTACATTTTTGATTCCCTGTCAGTCATACAACATATTAGATGGTTTCATATATTAGATTCAATGAACATAATTTAATTACTGACACAAAGTGTAAAGCTGTTTATTCTCCACTAAAGGATTTACAACAGTTTAAAGAACTTTAAAAGCCAAGTAGCAATTTAACTAAAATTATAATTCATAAGGTCTGAATGCCCAAAACAACAAATGCCCCGTGTCCATGTGAGACAACAACAGATTAAACATAAAATTACAAATAATACCAGAATAAATCAACAATCAAAACTTATATATATACATATTCAACAACTTGATCTGCATTAGAAAATCAACGCTGTCTGTAATACCACACTGTGAAAAATCACTTGAGCTGAGCACTTCACCACCATAGTGAGCAAGAGACGCTATTCTACTGATTATGAAACGTGCAACGCTTAATTCAGCCACTAAAGCAAATACTCGGACAAAACTGACACTGCCATATCAACAAAGACAACGTGAAGATGCATTTTAAAAGCCAATAGCACAAAAATGCATCTAAACCAACAGCAGAAATAAAGTGCACTCACAAAAACCTGATATTCTACAGCACATGAACACACTTTTAATATTTATCATGCATGACAATGCCAGTGACAACACTGAGGTGAACATTAGAAAGAGAACAGCTCTATGGGGTCTCGCATGCCACACACACAAGTACAAACAGCGGTGTACGGGAAAGATTTCCTCATGGTGAAGTAAAGGGATTTAGCTTTATCCATATTAATATTCTATATACTTCTGTTTTCCCAAATGCAATGCAAGTGGCATTTGAACTTTTCAAGAAACGGCTTATATTTGAGCTAGTATCACTACAGCAATGTTCAACCAGTTTGTCACACACATACGATACGGTAAGAAATTCAACTAGATAGGATGCCACAGTATTTTTCTTGGACACATCACTTGAGGTCGCCGGCATCACCCTGGATGGTTTTCTTGATGCGCAGCAACATGGTGGTCTGCCATTGGTCGAGACGAGAGATCGAATCAAACTCCTTCACCTGGAGAATTAAACACATGATTTATAGACGCAGCGTCAAAATGAGCTAAAATAAAAAAAAGAGTAAAATATACTACTATACTAAATATATATATATATATATATATATATATATATATATTCTACATATCTGTACAGTGATTTTGAAAAAAAAAATCATTATTTGAATCAAATCAAATAAATTAATAATAATAAAAAACAAATATATTATTTAAAAAAATAAACTAAGTTTATTATTTTTATTTTAGCTCATTTTAATTTAGTTTAACTTGATGTACTAAACTTAAAAATAAACTAAAATTAATGAAAAAACAAACAAAAAAATTCAATGAAAAGAGAAAATGTATATATATTAATAAACTATTTTTTAAAAGTTGTTTTTTTTTAAAGTTAGTTTCTGTATACACTTGCAAAAAAAAGAAAATTTAGTTTAAGCAAAATTATAGCTATTATGTAAGACAAAATGATTAGTAAACACAACAGCAACAATGTAAAAAGTAACACACAAATATCAGTATCACCCAAAATTAATTTATTAAAGACTTAGAAACAAATTTGTATAAAAAGTATAAAAAAATATTCTACATATTTGTAGTGATTTTTAAACAACAAAAAAAATCATTATTTGAATCAAATAAAATAAATTAATAATAATAAAAAAACAAATATATTATTTAAAAAAATAAACAAATTTGATTATTTTTATTTTAGCTAATTTTAACAGTTTACCTTGATGTACTAAACTTAAAAATAAACTACAATTAATGAAAAAACAAACTTAAAATTTCAATGAAAAGAGAAAGTGTAATATATAAATATATTAATAAACTATTTTTAAAAGTTTTTTTTTTGAAAGTCCGTTTCTGTATAGACTTTCAAAAAAAGCAAAGAAAATTTAGTTTCAGCAAAATTAAAACTATCATGCAAGACAAAATTATTAGTAAACACAATAGCAACAATGTAAAATAAATATCAGTATCACCCAAAAGTAATTTATTAAAGACTTAGAAACAAGTTTGTATAAAAGGTATAAACAAAATAATCATTTTTGTAATTAGACTTTTGATTCAAAACCTCATAGCTACTGAGATATAACCTGTGACAATTAACCCCGGTCACTCTTATACAGTCTAATCATCCAAAGCACTGTTCATTTGAAACTTTATAAACTTACGGCTTCAGTGAACGCCTCACTGTTCTGCTCCTCATGAGCCTCCAACAGTTTCTGTAAGGAAAGACAAAACCATAAAGTGCAAATAATGCTGCAAAGTGTAACACGCACATTACTGCACTCGGTATGCAAGGCTCAATTTAGCATGCATACTGACTAAACGTCTTATACTATTTATGTTTATTTATGAAATTAGACAAATGCACTTACTTTCAACAGCTTACACTCTCTTGAATCAGAGAATGCCGGAAACATCCCTTCATACTTCTCAATGGCAAGCTGAAAGAAATCAAACACAGAATATTTACATCAGATGAGCTGTTACATGTCAGGAGAAACTACTGAATTCATCACGGCTGACTGAGAGCGGCACATTTCTACAATAGAGCTGGTCAATGAAAATCTTTGCTGCATTAACACCACTAGGTGTCAGTGCAAGACAAGACAAGCCAGCTAAAATTACTCAGTGCTTACGTTACGATGGGATAGTTACAACAAGAAACTATAGCAATTGAATTAACAGACTAAACAGCCTACAAAAATGACACTTGTTAAAAACGACTGACCTTTGCGTTTAACTCATCCACTATGAAGTGGCAGAGAGCTGCTTTCCAGAAGTACTCTTTGGCGTTGTATTTCAGCAGAGGGTTGTCCATCGTGCTGGTTGCAACCTGAATGTGAAGAGACCTTTGATCATTCACAGAGAGAAGATATGATTCGATTTACTGTGCAAACATGAAGGTGCGCTGGAAAGCATGCTGACATCTTTTGCTAAGCACCCTTATTTTTTTCAAAATCTGAGTCTGCTCCAATAATGTTACATGCTCCATAAATGTCAAACAAACGTTCTTGCTAATAATACAGTTTTGCTTCCTCCTGGCTGTTGGCCTCACAGACAAACATATTGCTATGACATGAATTGCTCATTCTAGGGTTAAACTCTCAAACTTTTGGTTAATAAGCCACTTCTCGTTCTTACTCTCATCTCCCTCCCACTGTGCAAAATCTAAATGAACTCACTTACTCCAAAACACATGCAACCCCTAAACTCTAATAGAACCTTAAATAAATGTAATAGATTTAAAAGGAAATGGTTTTATGTTATAATTATACAGTAAAAAATAATATGAATAATATTATTTGGAAAGTATTTAGTTTCTGTTCCATTACATTATTGCATTTTCATTCCTACTCACTATAGTATTGTATGTATTATTTATTTATTTATTTATTTTACAGGGTTAGTACAGTATTTGAAAAATAATGTGTTTTTTGAACATTAAAGCATGTCAACATATTCTGTTACACCAAATACACAAAATAATGATCTTTAAAAAAGCATCATATGACCCCTTTAAAGTTACCTAAACCATAATTTATTTTGTTTTTTGTTAAATAAACTTTCCCCCGGTTTCACAGACGAGGCTTAAGCTAGTCCTGGACTAAAATGCATGTTTGAGCTGTTTTAACTGAAAGCCAGTTGCATCGACATATCTGAAAATTTGTCTCAAGATGCACACCAGCAATGTTTTTTTCTAAATCACATTTATAAAATCGACTTAAATTCCCTAATTAAACTAAGACTTAATCCTGGCTTAGTCTAAGCCCTGTCTGTGAAACCAGGCCTTAATCTGAAATAAAATGTAACAAAAATATTATTTCAGATAACTGTCAAGGACATGTTTAACTCTAGTTTAACTTGCTGTACTAAATATCGAATTAATTTTTAAAAATGACAAAAACAACAAATTTACTAAAAGTTTAACAAAAATTTTAATGAAAAGAGTTCAAATTATTAATGAAGAATATACTAGTGTCTCAAAATTACTACAATAACACTCTTTAATAATAATGATAATTGATTCATTGATTTATATTTTTTAATAGAAATAAATCAGTAATAATAAAAGAAGGGTTGAGTGTGTCCCACAAACCTGCTCATAGATCTCGATGGCTTTGGGATACTGCTCGAGCTGAGCGCTGTACGAGCCCACCTTCAGCAGACACTTATTAGCAGAGCTAATAAAGCAATACAAATGAGCATCTACGACCCACAATAACAGGAAATGGAAGATAATTACAAATATTGAATGACATTCTGATTTACACAGACAAACCTGTTTGACTCTTCGCCTTTGTAATAGTCTGCGGCCTGCTCGTAATGGGCGATGGCCTAAAACAACATCACAGCCCAGTTATAGCATTTCTACAAAAACCATGCATAAGAAAGCATCTAACAGATGTTTAAAGGCAAACAGCACCTTTTCGATATCCACTAGCTCGGATTCATAGATCTCTGCAATAGTCATGTGATGCTTTGCAGCGATCGTGAACCTTCCCTGTCAGTCACACACACAAATGATGAGATGAAATGTTATGTAACATTTACATGTTCAGTAAACAGGCACATTCAGGTTAACAAACCGTATCGCGTAATATGCATGTATTTTATGCATCGATATGTACATTTATATATGAAAGCAAAATCTAGTCTCTTACCATGTCTGTATAAATATCGATGGCTGCGTTTAAACAGTTGATAGCCTCTGTGTGAATGATTCAAACAGAAGGGAACACAATATGAGTCAAACGTCAGGAGGTCATCTTTACTCATAACCTCATTCAATCAGTTATTAAATAAAGCAACACAACTTAATCCAAGGAATCCACATTCTGGTGTCAATGTAGTACAGATTTTTTTTTTTTATTGAAGTCAGTGTTCATTTAGTATCATTTAGTATCAGTCAAACGATTAATCGCGATTAATCGCATCCAAAATAAACGTTTTTGTGTACATAATATATGTGTGTGTACTGTGTATATTTATTATGTATATATAAAGACACACACATACAGTATATATTTTGAAAATATTTACATGCGTATATTTATATTAATATAATTTATATTATATATAAATACATTTAATATAACAACATATTTTTCTTAAATATATACATGCATGTGTGTGTGTATTTATATATACATAATAAATATACACAGTATATACACACATACGT